GTGATCTATCCAAACTTTGAATGGATTTAGAGATAAATCAAAAGATTTTGGGAGCTTTTGGGAGAGTGGCTGGCGGCAAAGCAAAAGGAAGCAAGGAAAATTGAGCGCTAGGGTTTGTCTGAACCCAGCCTCTTTTATTTTTTAGACCATTGGTCAAAACAACGTTGTTTTGCCATTTTCCTTCTCAACCCTTCAAGTTTTCAGCCTTTATAGAAAATAGTCCATTGCCTTCTAATTTTATCATTTAGCCCCAATTAAAATTGGGTTATGACAGTGTTTTAAGCTTGATTATGTAGAATTTAGCTTGAAGTAGCTGCTGTGATGTTTTGTGTGAGAAATCTCGTGTGTGTGAGTTGTGATTTGCCAAGTTATGCTCTCCCTGTGATGCCGTGAGAAATGGAATGAATTTTGGTAGCTTTAAGCTATGTTTTTAAGTGTGGTTAAGTAGGAAATTAGCTTGAATTGGGTTGTTGTGATTTTGGAGAAAAATCTCGTGAGATTAGCTATGGTTTTGCAAATTTGGAAGTTGAAGGTACTGTTCATGGTACTGTTCATGGGGGTGCTGTTCACACACCGAGGTTAACAATTAACGGGGATTTAAATGATTAGTTTGTGATATAAGAATAAATTTGGAGATGTCCGGTTATGTGGAGATTGATAGAAATAGCACTGTGATTAGGGGTAGTGCTAATGATGATTTCACTTTGAAATTGTGGTAGTGAGGTATTAACTATGGAATATTGTGATTAGGTTCCTGATCGTTCTATCAATTTAGCACTGAGATCGAGCCTTTGTTTTAAGCGAGTGAGGTAAGTAAATTCATGGTAACGACCGTATTGTTTTTAAAAACATGTTTTGATTTGTTTTGAAGTGGTGGTGGGACTAAACCCGTTTTACACAAGTATGATTGATTTGAAGTGGAAATTTTTATACTTTTCATTAAATTGAGCATGCCTACTTGGAATTTAATTGATTGTCCTGATGATCTGAAAGTGATTGGTGAATTATATTTTTCTGTTAACTTCAGCCTGTTTTGTCTTCGATGTATTCATGTTTCTATAATCCTGCTAGTGGGGGTTAAATGCTAGCACATGTCGGCACATGTCGATATGTTATTGATAGAACCGGTTCGCTTTTGTAATCCTGCTAGTGGGGGTTAAACACTAGTAATTTCTGTAGCCTGCCAGTGGGAGGTTTATAACACTGGCCGTGACCTATAGAGGAGACATCTATTTCGTTCCAGTACTGTATCCATTTTTTGTGATTGCACATGTTGGCATGCTATAAGTTTAATAAGGGGCACTCCATATTTACTTACTGAGTTTATCTCATGGTTTTCCTTGTCCACCATTTCAGGAAGTAAAACCAAGGACGAGGAAACCACGGGAAGTGACGAGTCAAAAAGCTAGCCATTTCGAGATTAAATATAGATTTTAAAAATAAATCATTATCTTGTAAGCTAGAGTGTATTTGGAGATTTTATGATATCAGAGAAATTTTAAAGATTTGATCTTCAGATTTTGTGGTATCAGATGTGAATTGGATAAGTTTCGAGCCTTGTGTATTTGTGGGACATGTCTCACGAGTGCACGACGTCTGCCACGTCCCCGGATTTGGGTTTTGGGGCGTGACAGAGGTGCAAGTAAAGGATTTCTCCATCATTAGCCTTTGTCAGCAAAGGGGGTGAGCTAAGGTAAGACTTCAGCTCGTCAAATGCAGCTTGGCATTCTGAATTCCATTCAAATTTCTTTTGTTTGCCAATTTCATCCTTCTGGACTGCTGATCTCATGATGTTGAAGTATGGCAGGCATTTATCTGTTGATTTCGAGATCAATCTATGAAGAGCTGCTACTCTCCCTGTCAGCCTCTATACATCTTTTACTGACTTCGGTGGTTCCATTTTAGCCACTGCTTTGATCTTCTCGGGGTTAACCTCAATTCCCCTTCTGGATACCATGAAGCATAGAAATTTTCCAAACTCCACGCCGAAGATGCACTTTGCTGGATTCAACCTCATTCTGTTCTTTCTGAGATTGTTGAATGTCTCCTTAAGGTCAGTTAAATGATCTTCAGCTTTCAAACTCTTTACCACGATATCATCAACATAAACTTCTAGATTTCGGCCTATTTGAGCTCAGAATACGATGGTAACCATCTTCTGGTAAGTGGCACCTATGTTCTTCAAGTCGAAGGGCATCATCACGTAACAATAGATTTCGTCTCCGACATAGAACAAGGTTTTTTTTTCGTCCAAGAGACTTAGTCTCTCATTTCAAGAAGCCATTGGGATATCAGGAGCCATTGGGACTTGGTGGTAACCAGAGTATGCATCCAAGAGACTTAGTCTCTCATTTCAAAAAGCTATCTCAACTAGCTTGTCAATGTTTGGCATTGGGTAACAGTCATTTGGACATGCCTGGTTGAGGTTAGTGTAATCGATGCACATCCGCCATTTGCCATTTGCTTTTTATACCAACATAGGATTGGCAACCCATTCACAATAATCGACTTGTTTGACGAAGCTAGCTTGTAAGAGCTTTTCAACTTCTTCCTTTATGACTTTTAACCTCTCCTCCCCAAAGAGGCGTCGCTTCTAAGCTACTGATTTCTTCAATGGATTGGTGCTGAGCTTATGCTGAGATACCGAGGCTGAAATTCCTAGCATGTCTGTCGAAATCCAAGCAAAGACATCGTTGTTAGCGCGGAGAAAAGCTATTAGCTCTGCTCTTTCCTCCAAACTCAATCGAGTTCCAATTTGCGTCTTTCGGCTTAGATCTTTATCGTCAATGTGCACCTCCTCGACATCCTCGACTAGAGTAGCTCTGGTTTCATCCTCAGGTCGGTTGTCTACTATTTCAACTCTCATGACTTGCTGATTATCAAGAATTTGTTGGGGAATGGCTTCCGGCGTTTATTCTTTGTCTTTGTGAGGTCTTGTGACTGAGATGATATAGTAATGTTTGGCCACCTCCTGGTTGTCCCGTAGTGTTGCTATCCCTATAGGAGTTGGGAATTTCATGCAAAGGTGAGATTGGGAAACCACAACTCGGATTTCAGTCAGCGTGGGTCAGCCAATAACAACATTGAAAAAGAACGCCATCTTGACAACTAGAAACCGAACTGAAGGGGTAACATACGTTCAGCCACTCCCAAAAGCAACATTGAGGGTAAGAACTCCTTCTACTTGAACTGGTTGGTTGTTGAATCCATAAATGGGACTATCGTACCACTGCAACAAAGTTGGATCCAGCCCAAGACTCTCAAAACAGTGGAAGTACATGATGTCTGGTGCACTCCCTATGTCAACAAAGACACGTTGCATCTTACAATTGTTAATCATGACAGAAGTAACTAGAGGATCATTGTGGGTTGTGACAACTGTGTCGAAATCAATAGATGTGAAAGTAATGGGTTGATTCTTTTAGTCAGCATCGTCAAACTTCCGTTTCTGAGCTCGGTTTTGATGTTTGACCTCTCTGACATACAACTTTCGCTGTTTAGAGCTCAGTCCCCATGCTTCCAAGCCTCCCATAATCATATGTATAATTCTGGCTGGTGGTAGAAGCGGAAGTGGGGCTTGCTGATATCCCACGCCTTGTTTGTTTCCTACAGTACGAGATCATTGTGGCTGTGTCCCTTACTCTCTAATAAACTTCGGTTGCTCGGTCCGCTGGAGATATTCATTCAGCATGCCCTTTTGAGCTAGATTTTCTAGTTCAGACCTCAGACTATTGCACTGCTCTTTTGTAGGACCATGATCTTGATGAAAATTACAGTACCTGGTATGGTCACGTGTAGCAGCAGAGCTTCTCATTGGTCCAGGTCGCCTCAAATCCATCTTATTCTTGATCTGCATGAATATCTATGACATCAGCAGATTAAAAGGGGTCCAAGTAACTGGAGGTTTACTTGCAGATTGTTGTGGAGGTGCTGAGTTTGGCCTTCCAAATCTTGGTGTGGAGATCGACATCGGACCTCGGTTCTGTGCTGTCCTCATCCGTTTTTTGCTCTGATTCTCATCTCTTCAGTCTAGGTTTTGGTTCCTAGAGGGGATTGGCTTCTGCGACAAGACATATTCCTCAGCAGTTATGAATTTCAGGGATCTATCATTCACCTCGTTAATGGTTGTAGCAGGATACTTGATCAAACTATCTCTGAATCTCTCATGGTCAAGACTTGAGATCACAGTTGCAATTCCCACAGCCTTGTCAAAGGAGCTAACTTCCAACGTTGCATCATTGAATTTGCTCATGTAATTCTTCAAAGATTCTCCATCCCTTTGTTTAACTCGCATAAGTTCAGAAGTAGTTTTCCTGATCAACCTTCTATTGGAAAACTTTATGGCAAAAGAAGATGCCATTTCTGTATAAGAGCTGATAGATCTTGGGGGCAAGCTATAGTACCAAGTTCAAGCATTATCTCGGAGAGTAGAGGGAAAGATTTTGCACATCAATGCGTCAGAGGCATTGTGAACTTGCATACAAGAGTAGAAAGCATGTAAATGATCATCGGGATCCTTCGTCCCATCATAAGTCTCGAGCTAAGGAATTTTGAAACCAGCAGGATAAGATTCCAATGTGATGTTGGTGTTAAGAGGATGGGGTATGGAGTCAGTATTGTGGTGTGGAGGTGGGGCACCTCGCTGTTCAGCTACCAGTTTTTCTAAACTGTCCAGGCATCGAGTGACATCATCAGGAAGAGGTTGCTGAGCTAGGGCTATGTGAGACTGGCCCTGAGACTCACTGAGAGCGGGAGCATGCTGAACTAGTTGAGGGTCTTGCTGTGGAGCTAGGGATTGTGGAGCAGGGTTGAGTAAATTGATGAGGGGATCACCAGGGTTGTTCCAAGCTAAGAGCTGAGCCAATACTAATTGAAAGATAGCAAACTATTGTTGTATGGCAGCAAGTTGAGCTATAACTACACTTGGTTGGCGGTGGAAGCTGAGTTGTGAGGTTGGTTTTCATCTCCTCCTTTTACATGATCAACAGGAGGGAACGTATTTGGGATCTGAGGTAGGGGCTGAGGTGGAGGCTTGTTGAGGAGTTGACCTTGTCCAAGAGGCTGAGATGGATTTCCAGCTCAGATTGATTAAGTGTTAACCATGACGAGAAAGCAACAAGAGAGCTTTCAGTTTGGTTTCCCACAGACGGTGCCAAATGTAATTGCACCAAACCAGAGGTCCTTATTCAATCTGCGTCTTCACTTTGGATGAACCTGCAAAGCCCCGAGGTGGGTCCTCGGGGTAGACACTCTGATACTTAAGTCAGCAATAATCAAGTTTATCTTTAGACTAATGAAAAAGGAGCTTTAGGATGGTTTTAATTACCTTTTTGACTTGGCCCCTGAGGGGCATTTATAGGTCTTCGTGAGGTATCCACGTGGCTTGCTTAGCAGGATGATCGGAGTGTGACGTGTCCCTTAAAAAGATAAATTTGGGACCGGGGAATTGTGTGATAAATCAGGCATAGGCATGCCTACTTTATTTATCGTGCAACCATTTGACCAGAAGTGATGGATTTAACTTCACTTCGGCTATTAAGGAATTGTTATAATACGTCTGAGGTTAAGGACCTTGGACCTATCCTTACAATTTCAGTGTTCTCGTGGATCAATTCCCCCCTCTCACTCTTCAGAGTTTCGATTTTCTGGGTCAATTGGCTTACTCTGGATTCATTTTCTCATTGATCGGCATGAAAGAAGTCCCCTAACTCCATATCAACCACGCCCATCATTTTGATTCTGCAAATAACAAGGAATCAAAACCAAAGAGATGGGGTACAAAATGATAATAAAACTGATAGTTTCTGCCAGGGGAAAAAATCACGAGGTAAAGTATGAAATCTTGAATTCTTATAAGAAAAAATTTCCTCTCACGTTTGCTCGGCTGCTAGACACGTAAAGATGAACGAAAGCTGAACATATTTGTAGCATCTCACAATGATCCATTGGTCACTTTCATCATGACTAATAATTGCGAAGTAAAACATGTTTTGAGAGCTTAGATCTTGATCTAGCTTTGTTGTAGAATTACAATGGCCTTATCTATGGGTTCAGCAACAAACTGGTCCTGGTTGAAAGAGTTATTACTCTTAATGTGGCAATTGGACGGGGCCAAACTTATGTCACCCCTTCAGTTTGGTTTCTAGTTGTTAAGATGACATCATCCTTCAATGTTGTCATTGGGTGATCTATATTAATAGAGATCGGAGTTGTAATATCACAATCTTATCTATGCATGAAATTCTCCACACCTATGGGATTGCAACTTTAAAAGGTAATTAGGAAGTAGCTAGACACTACTACATTACCTCAGTTACACAACCTCGTAAAGAGACTAGACAAATGCTAGAGCTTGCTCAACACCAAGTTTCAAATGAGTAACAAGTGATAAGAGTGGAGTTACTTGATAATCAACCTGAAAATGAAGCCTGAGTTGCCTTGGTCGAAGAGGTGGAGGAAGTGCAGATTGATGACAGAGATCCAACCAAGAAAACTCAGATCGGGACTCGACTAAGTCCAAAGGGCAAGGAAGAGTTGATAACCTTTCTCAAAGCCAACAAAGTTGTTTTTGTGTGGACTTCAACAAATATGCTAAGGATTCCAACCTCAATGTCCATGCCCAAGTTGAGCACCAATCCCTTAAAAAAGTTGGTTGCTCAAAAACGACATCTTTTCGAGGGAGAAAGACTCAAGGTGATTAAGGAAGAGGTGGAGAAGCTTTTACAAGCCAGCTTCATAAAGAGAGTTGATTATTGTGAATGGCTTGCCAATCCCATTTTAGTCAAGAAGGCCAATGGCAAGTGGAGGATGTGCATCGACTACACTGATCTCAACCAGGCTTGTCCTAAAGATTGCTACTTGATGCCAAATATCAACAATTTGGTTGAAGCAGCTTCTGGGAATGAGAGATTAGGCCTCTTAGATGCATATTCGGGCTATCATCAAGTCCCAATGGCTCTTAAAGATGAAAAAAAAAACTTCTTTTTATGTTGGAGATGAAATTTATTGTTACGTTAGGATGCCTTTTGGTTTGAAAAACGCTAGTGCTACATACTAAAAGATGGTCACTATTGTCTTCCAGGCTCAGATTAGCAAAAATTTTGAAGTTTATGTTGATGATGTTGTGGTAAAGAGCTTGAAGGCTAAAAACCATTTAGCTGATCTCAGTAAAACTTTCAACAATTTGAGGAAAAACATAATGAGGTTAAATCCTGCAAAATGCATCTTTGGTGTGGAGTTGGGAAAGTTTTTGGAGTTCATGGTCTCTAATAAGGGGATAGAGGTCAACCTTGAGAAAATTAAAGTAATGGAAGAGTGACCTCCCAAGTCCATTAAGGACATTTAGAGGTTAACTAGGGGAGTGGTACCTTTCACAAGTTCGTCTTTTAGTCAGCTAACAAGTACCTTCCATTTTTTAAGATCAAGAGGTCAATGACACAAAAGGATGAGTTAGGCAAGCTGAAGAAATTCGAATGGATACTAAAATGCCAAATTACATTTGATAAGCTCAAGTCTTACCTTAGCTTTCCTCCTTTGTTGACCAAAGTTGTTGATGGTGAGATCCTTTACTTGTATCTTGGAGTTTCTAATGAGGCAATACGTTCCATGCTAGTAAGGGAGGAGGGAAAATAACAAAAGCTAGTTTACTACATGAGCAGGGTATTGCATGAGGCAGAGTAGAGGTACTCAATTATTGAGAAGGTAGTCCTTACAGTTGTTACCTCAGCTAGAAAATTGAGACCGTATTTCCAATTGCACCCAATAGTTGTCTTTACAAATCAATCTCTTCAATAAATCTTGCAGAAACTTAAGTGTTCAGGAAGATTAATCAAATGGCAGTTGAATTGGGAGAATTTGAAGTAACATTTCAATAGAGGTTGACAATCCAAGCTCGAGCGTTGGCAGATTTTGTTGTTGAATGTACATCTGGTTAGTCAAGTGCCACTCCTAAGCCAGATACATAGGTTTTATATGTTAATGGAGCATCCAATAATAAGGATCAGGAGTTAGAGCCATGTTGGTGGGCCTAAATGGATTCCAAAGTGAATACGCTCTAAAGTTTAACTTTGACACAACTAATAATATGGCCAAGTATGAAGTTTTGTTTCTTGGTCTCCAACTAGCAATAGAGTTGAAGGTGAAAGTAATTTAGATCTACAATGATTCTTAACTTGTGGTTAATCAGGTAACTTCGATTTGTGAAGTAGTAGAGCCCACTTTGATGAAGTATGTTGCCATAGTGTCTGAGCTCAAGTGCAAATTTAAGAAATTTTGCCTTAGCAAAATATCCAGATTTGAGAATGAACAAGTAGATTCGCTTTCTAAGTTCACCTCTGATAGTTCCAAACCTATAAGGTTAGTTTATGTTAAGGTTCTTAATGAACCCAGTTTTGAAAAGTTGAAGGTGATGGAGATCAGCGTAAACCCAAACACGTTGAGCTAGATGGATCTTATCAAGTCTGTCTTATAGGACGGATCCGATCAAGTTTTACTTACAAGACAAATCTGATCAAGTCTTACTTACAGGACAAATCCAATCAAGTCTTACTTATAGGGTGGCTCAGTTCTTGAAGATAAATAGGAAGAGATAAGATTGAGATGAAAGGCATCTAGGTATGTTCCCATTGACAGCGTCCTTTACAAGAGATCTTTCTTGCTCTCTCTGCTCAATTATTTGACTTCTTATAAAGTTGAATATGCACTTTGGGAGGTGCATGAAGGTGTTTGTGGCAGCCATGTAGGTGCAAGGACACTGGCTCATAAAGTCCTCAAGCAAGGATACTATTGGCCTAATATGCACAAGAATGCTAAGAAATTTGTACAACGGTGCCCAAAATGCCAATTCTTTGCACACTTAACTCACCAACCAACATAAGAGCTCATGAACTTGGTGGCACCTTGGTCATTTGCTCAATGGGGACTCAACCTTTTGGGCCCATTTGTGAAAAGAGTTAGGGGAGTAACGCACCTAGTAGTTGGTGTAGACTCCTTCACAAAATGAGGTGAAGCTCGGTCACTATTCAATCTCACTTTTAGAAAAATTGAAGACTTTGTCTTTAGTTCCATCATATGCAAATATGGGAACCCCAATCAAATCATTGTCGACAATGGAACACAATTCAACTGTGCCTCATTCAAGGACTTTTGCTCCAGCTATGGGATTAAACTACAATTCACCTCAATGTACCATCCAAAGGCTAATGGAATAGTGGAGTCAGTCAACAAAGCTATTATAGAGGGAATAAAGCCGAGGTTGGAGCAACATAAAGTTAGGTGGGTAGATGAGCTTAACAATGTGCTATGGGCATACAAAACCACCAGCCGAACTGCCATAGGTATCATCCCTTGACCTAACCTATCTTTATGCTTTTATATTTTCTTTATCTTATCTTCTGCTTCAATTATAGTTAAAATATATATAATATGTAAAGCACATGCTAAAACAATAATTCATTGAAATAGGTGAAACACTGTACCACCTAGTCTTTGATACAGAAGCAGTTATTCCTATTGAGATAGGAGTCCTAAGCTTTAGGGTGAGCCTTTTCAAGGAAGGATGAAATGAACAACTACTTCAAGAAAACCTTAATTTCCTTGCCAAAGTCAAAGAAGAAGCTTGACTTCAAGCTCTATTATACAAGCAAAAATTAGCCAACTTTTATGATAAATGAGTTTGTTCGTGAACATTCAGAGTTGGTGACCTTGTTTTCAAGAAAGTTGATCTTATAAGGTTTGAAACTCGTTTAGACAAGTTGGCCCCGCATTGGGAATGCCTGTATACCATGGTCGAAATACCACATCCTGATGCCTATATTCTTCGAGATGCTAAGGGAAAAAGGATTCATCGAGTCTGGAATGTCAACAATTTAAAGAAGTTTTACCTTCAACAACAGATTGTTCAGTTTAAACCCTCAGATAGATTTTGTTCAATTTTACTTCATATTGTTTGATTCTTATGTTTGAGATAGATTTGTTATTCTTTTCGTCTCTTGAACTTCGTTATTGATTCTTTATCAATCTAAATTACACCTCATATTCAAGGTGGTTCCAGATCCTAGTTCGACATTCATCTTACCAAATTCCTATAGAACAAAGTGAATCAACATAACAAATTAAATTGTATAAATCATCAATATGTTAAAAATTTACACCAATTCTGCTAACAAATTGTTCAAATATATATCCAAGCACAAGCAACTGAACTATTGAATGAGGTCGGCTACTCTGTTAAAGGAGGTTGTTGGTCCACCTTTTGTTCCAACACATTGTCCGCCACCTCGGCCTCACCACCCACTTCTGCATCCTTTTCATCCACAACCACAAACTCAAAATTGAAGTTTGGAGGAAAAACAATGTGACCTTCCCCATCTGGATCCCATTTTATTGTGACTTTGGGATGAAAGTCATC